GATCTGCAGGAGATGTCCCTGGGAGAATATTCCTGGGAAGTAACAATTAAAGAAGTACGAAGCTGAATAAAAATGCTTTCCTGAGAACACCAAAGCCAAACCTTCCCTGGAAGACGATCAGAAAACTTCCTCGCCACCCAAGATGTAGCACACTGTCTGAAACTCCATCTGTTAGGGAAGCTCCTATTAGGCAAACAGAATGCCTTCTTTAAAACACTAAAGTCTTTGGTGAGCAGAAGTGGGCATTCTACAGCTTACCTCTTACTGCCAGATAGGTCAGTCCCATGCATTTGTCTTATTATCTTGCTGAGAACAGACGTTTCAGGGAATCAAGTCCAGGAGAAAGAATCACTTTGGAGGTGATGGCACCATTTGGCAGGAGTCCAAGGAACCAATACATCGTGAACATAAAGGAGAGAGTGAGTGAAAGCCCAGGAGGCTGCATCATGGACCAGAAACTTCCTCAGAGTGTGAAAGACTTTTCATACACAATTTAAGCTGGAAATTGTTTTCTTCTAAAGCAATTAAAGAAGAAATAAGAAAAAGAAATGAAAAGCATCCAAATTAGAAAGTACAAAGTAAAATGATCTCTCTCTCTCTCTCTGCAGATGACACGATCTTAGATGCAGAAAACTCTAAAGATTATACACACACACACACACACACACAATTATCAGAATAAATGAATTCAGCAAAGTTGCAGGATACAAAATCAACACACAAAAATCAGTTGCATTCTTGTTTATTAACAATGAACCATTAGAAAAGGAAATTCAGAGAACAATTCTATTTCCTGTAGTATCAGAAAATAAAATAAAATAAAATAATAAAATAAAATAAAATACTTAGGAATAAACATAACCAAAGAGGCAAAAGAGCTGTATACTGAAAACTACAAAACATCGCTGAAAGAAATTAAAGAAGATACTAAATAATCAAAAGATATCCAGTGTTCATGGATTGGAAAACTTAATATCGTTAATATGACAATACTAATCGAAGTGATCAACGAGTTGAGTGCAGTCACTATCAATATTCCAATGACAGTTTTTGCAGAAATAGATAAATCCATACTAAAATGTATATGAAAATTCAAAGGGCAAAGCAGTCTTTAAAAAGAAGGAGGAGGGGCACCTGTGTGGCTCAGTCAGTTGAGCATTTGACTCTTGATTTCAGCTCAGGTATGACCTCACGGTTCGTGAGTTTAAGCCTTGAGTCAGGCTCTGAGCTGACAGTGCAAAGTCTGCTTAGGGTTTTCTTTCTCACCCTCTCTCTCTCTGCTCCCTCTGTGCATGCACGTGTGCATTCCCCCCCTCTCTCCAATAAATAAATAAATAAATAAATAAACTTTTAAAAACTTTTTTAAAAGAAGAAGAGAACTGGAGGCCTCACACTTCAAAACTTATTACAAAGCTATGGTAATCAAAATAGTATGGGTTTGGCATAAAGACAGACTTATAGACCAGTGGAATGGAATAAAAAGCCCAGAAATAAAATCTCACATACGTGGTCAAATGATTTTCTTTTTTTTTTTAATTTTTTTTTTTTTTAATTTTGGGAGCAGGGGGAGAGAGAGAGAGAGAGAGAGAGAGAGAGAGCATGTGAGCGTGAGTGGGGTGGGGGCAGAGAGAGAGAATTCCAAGCAGGCCCTTTGTTGTCAGCACAGAGCCAAACCTGGGGTTTGATCTAACGAACCATGAGATCATGACCTAAGCTGAAATCAAAAGTCAGACACTCAACTGATTGAGTCACCCAGATGCCCTGATGGTCAAATGATTTTCGACAAGAATGTCAAGACCGTTCAATGAAGAAGGGCAGTCTATAACAAATGGTGCTGGGAAAACTGGATATCCACATGCAAATTAAGGAAACTGAATCCAAACCTTATAGTATACTCAAAAATTGACTAAAAATGTACCATACATGTAAATATAAGAGCTAAAATCCATAAAACTCTTTGAGAAAAGACAGGGGGAAACCTCATGACATTGTATTTTGGCAATGATTTCTTGGATATGATACCAAAAGCACAGGCAACAAAAGAAAAAAATAAATTGGACTACATCAAATTTTAAAGCTTATGCACATTGAAGGACAGAGTCCATAAAATGGAATGGCAACCCTCTCAATGGGAGAAAATATTTGCAAATCATATATCTGATAAAGGGTTATTATTCAGAATATATGAACAACTCCTGTAAATTAACAACAAATCAAACAACCTGATTAAAAATGGGCAAAAGATTTCTCCAAAGAAGATAATCGAATGGTCAATAAGCACATGAAAAGATACTCAACTTCACCAATCTCTAGGAAAATGCAAATTTAAACTGCAATATTTTTTAAAAGAAAACAAAAAGAAAGAAAGAAAGAGGGACACAAAGAGAGAAAGAAAGAAGGAAGAAAAGAAAGAAAGACAATAACCAGTGTTGGTGAGGATATGGAAAAATTAGAGCCCTCATGCATTGCTGGTTAGAATGTAAAATGATGCAGCCACTGTGGAAAACAGTTTAGTGGTTCCTCAAAAAGTTAAACCTAGAATTTATATGATCCAGAAATTCCGCTTCTGGATATGTAACCCAAAGAAATGAAAGCAATAATTTGAACAGATATTTCTACCCACATATTCATGGCGGCATTATTCATAATAACCAAAATGTGGAACGACCCAAGTCCATCAATGCATGCATGGATAAACAAAATGTGGTATATGCATACAATGAAATACCATTCAGTCTTAAATAGAGTAGGAAATGTTGCTACTTGCTACAACATGGATGAATCACAAAGACATTATGCTAAATGAAGTAAACCAGTCACAAAAGGGCAAATTACATGAGTCCACTTATATGAGGTACCTACATTAGTCAAATTCATAGAAACAAAAAATGGAATAGTGGTTGTTAGGGGCTAGAGGAATAGGGAAATAGGGGGACTATTGTTTAATGGGTACAGAGTTTCAGTTTGAGATGATAAAAATAGTTCTTGAAATAGATAGTGGTCATAGTTACACAACATTGTGAGTGTACTTGAAATGGTAAATTTTATGTTATGTGTATTTTACTAGAATAAAAAATTTTAGTGAAACATTTAGGCATAAATCTAACTAAACAGGTACAGTGCTTGTATATTAAAACAACACAATGCTGATGAAAGAAAATTTTAAAATGTATAAATATGTAGAGAAATATACTATGCTCATGGATTAGAAGAATCAACACAGTAAAGATGTCAATTATCCACAACTTGATATGTAGATTTATCATAATTCCTATCAAAAGCCCTTCAAGAGTTTTTATAAGTATAGATAAGGTTACTCTAAACTTTATAGGAAAGGCAAACAAATTTGAAGAACCAACACAATTTTGAAAAAAAAAAATAAAGTTGGAGGAATCAGGCTACTCAATGTCAAGCCTTATAATATAGCTACAGTAGTCAAGATTCTGTGGTATTGGAAGAAGCACAGACGAGAAGCACAAATCAATGGACCAAACCTGAGAATTCAGAATAAACCTATACAAATATGCCCAACTGATTTTTGGCAAAGGCACAAAAGCAATTCAGTAAGGAAGGATATATCCTTTTCAATGAATGGTGCTGGAACATTTGGAGATAGAAGCATTTGGACCACCAACAAGAAAACAAGGGGGGACCTAATTGAAGTCTCATATCTTATACAAAAATTTAATTAAAAAATTAATTCTAAATGGATCACAGATTTACATGTAAAACTATAGGAGAAACCATCAGGATCCAGGGCTGAACAAAGATTTCTTAGACTCAATTCTAAACGCATGATCCATAAACAAAAAAGATTATATCTTTTTAAAATTTTTCATCAGAATCATAAACTTTTGCTCTGTGAAAAACCTTGTTAAGAGGGTAAAAAGACAAGCGCCAGCCTGAGAGAAAATATTTGCAAACCATACATCTGACCAAAAAACCTAGTATCTAGAATATATAAAGAACTCAGCAGTAAAAAATAAACAAATCAATTTTAAAGTGGTCAAAAAATACGAAGACACATTTCACCAAAGAAGATACAGAGGTGGCAAATAAGCCCAAGAAAAGATATTCAACATCACTAGCAATTAGGGAAGTGCAAATTAAAACCACAATGTGATATCACTCCACATCCATCAGAATGACTTTTTTTTTTTTTTAAATGTTTCTTATTTATTTCTGGGAGAGAGAGAGAGACAGCGTGAGCAGGGGAGGGTCAGAGAGAGAGGGAGTCACAGACTGAAACAGGCTCCAGGCTCTGAGCTGGCAGTCAGCACAGAGCCCGACGCGGGGCTCGAACCCACCAACCGCGAGATCATGACCTAAGCGAAAGTCGGACGCCCAACCGACTAAGCCACCCGGGCGCCCCCAGAATGACTTTTTTAAAAAAAGCAATAGGGCACCTGTGTCGCTCAGTCAGTTAAGCGTCTGACTTTGGCTCACAGTTCAAAAGTTTGAGCCATGCACTGGGTTGTCAGCACAGAGCTTGCTTTGGATCTTCTGTCCCGCCGCCCCACTGCCTCACCCCACCCTGCTTATTCTCTCCCTCTCTCAAAGTAAATAAATAAACTTTAAAAAAAAGTGTATGTATATACTATGCTTTTTTTCCTATACATTCATCTTATAATAGAGTTTAATTAAAAATTAGGCACCGTAATTGGTGCACCTGGGTGGCTCAGTAGGTTAAGCATCCAACTTCAGCTCAGGCCATGATCTCATGGTTCGTAGGTTAGAGCCCCAGGTCAGGCTCTGTACTGACAGCTCAGAGCCCAGAGCCTGCTTTGGATTTTGCAACTCCCTCTCTCTCTCTCTCCCCCTGCCCCACCCCCTGTTCATGCTGTGTGTGTATCTCTCTCTCTCAAAAATAAACATTTAAAAAAATTAGGCACCATAAGATATTACCAACAGTAATTCATAAAATAAAACTATTACAATAATAAATGAATAAAAGTTATGTGGTCTCCCTCTCTCAAAATATCTTCTTGTATTGTACTCACTTTTCTCGTGATGATGGGAGATGACAAAATGCCTACATGATGAGATGAAGTCAGGTGAGTGACGGAGACACTACAGCATTCGGCTACGATTGACCTAACGATACATCAGAAAGAGGATCATCCTCTTCCAGACAGCAGTTGCCTGTGGGTAATTGAAACCACAGAAAGTAAAACAGGGGATAATCGGGGGAGCTAGTGTCTTACTCAAACTTATCTTGAATAAAATACAGAAGAGATCTGGGAAAATTCTTTTGCCTAATACGTGTCATATCAATCGAGTTCCTAGCTCCCTGCTTCATATGACAACCAATAAATTAACCAGGGCCTGGCCAAGAGGAGGGAGTCCTCTCCGATCAGCATTCTCAAAGACAGTCTGCTCTCAAACACAGCCATAGACCCCAATTCTTTCTGCAAAGCAACCATCTTCCACTACATGAGATCAGGTGCTTACAAAGCACTTTTTGATGAAGTCAATGATCAGAGAAAAAAACAGGCAGTAGAGGATTTTACTATACGGCTGGACGCAAGCAGAGTGACGGTGTACTGAAACTGATCCTGGACAATACGATACTGGCCTCATCTCAGTCATATACTAAGAATAACAGTCATGGGGGCTATTCGTCCTCTTGAAGGACGCCAGCCCTGCCGGCCACCGTGGCTGGTGGAGCAGCTGCTCGGTGGCCAGCACACCTGTCACTCCATCGGCCATTGTTGAGAAGTCCAAGTGGGCACCCACCTAATGGCAACAATTCTTTAGTCTGGCCTTCGACCCATGACTTGATGAAAAAGAGAAACTCCCATGTGTCAGGAATCTGGATTAAGAAATGCTTAGGAAAAGAAGCAATTAACAGAGGAAGTACAATCCAAAAGGTCATGATGACAAAAGATGCCGGGCAGCCACAGGAGGCCACGGGAAAGCCAAAGTTACCAGCACGTGGAACTCGAGCAGAAAGAAGAAAGTGGGGTAAATGGCAGAGGGAGGTAGAGGTAGCAGAAGAGCCCGGAACCCTGAAGGAAACAGAGAGCACAGGCAGGACGTGGAACAGCCTAGGGCAGCCTAACAGCCAACCCCTGCCTAGCCTTGTACCTCCTTTCACCTCTAGCAGCTTATCATCACATTTTCTGAAACAAAAACAGCTCTCTCCCTAAGAGGAATTCTGGTGCCAGCTGTTAACGTGCCTCCCTCTTACCCTTCTACAAGTTAAAGCACAGCCTACCCTATTCCTCTAAGTCTGTCAAAGGGATTAGAAATCTGCTGTTTCAACTATAAAAAAAAAAGAAAAAGAAAATCTACCAAATCAATAGCCAGGGTCAATTTCGCATGATCCCAGTTCCCACTGGCCCATCTGACAGAGTGATGGCATCTGTAATACACAGGAATGTTTCGGTCAGTTGTGGCCACATGCTGAGAACTTCCATGTCAGTGGAGCATTAGGTCTTTGCTTGTGTCAGATCTGCGCCCCCAGTGAGCCCCATTAACTTCCACACCACCCGCATGACAGAGAGGACAAAACACACCTGCTGTCAGCTCTGTCCAGGTCACAACCTCCCCGGACCTCAGTGTTCTCATCAGCAAAACAATGGACTTGGACTAGAATAGCAGGTCCAGAGGAGCCACCAGAGAGCCCAAGCACTTCTGTGGAGGGAGCTTGGAAGCCTGCACAGCAGACGAGAGATCATGGCTGAGTACCAGCCCCACCTGCACCCCCACCTCTAACAGAGGCAGCTCAACCCTCACCCCTTCTTCCTACTGGGCTCCCTGATCAGGATGCAGTGAAAGAAATATTTCCACTGCTGGAAATACTTGAAAACCACTCGTATAGCTGTTTTCTAAATTCCGATCAGCAGCTTCTATTTGTCTACGGTATTGCATCTGTCATTCCAGGACCCATATGACTCCAAGTCAAAATGTATGTCCAGCAAGATCTGATCCAGGAGGTGGAGAGCGCTGAAAGGGATTTCAGGGCTGGGGCAATGCAGATCCAGGTCCATAGCAGCCTGTGGCCCACATGGTCCTTTTGCTAAGAGTAGGGCCCAGCCTGTATCCAGGGGAAGGGGTGCTAACTTGGATAGTTACTTGGATAGTCTTACTCCCTACCCAAACTCCCTCATTATCTCTCAGTATTTACTCCCCTCCTCTTCTGCCATAACAGAATCCCATATCATGTCAGCAGGTGCCACCCAGAATAAGAGACAACAAGGGGCACCTGGGTGGCTCAGTCAGTTAAGCATCCAACTTTGGCTCAGGTCATGGTCTCGCCGTTTACATATTCGAGCCTGTGTCGGGCTTGATGCTGACAGCTCAGAGCCTTGAGCCTGCTTCAGATTCTGTGTCTCCCTCTCTCTCTGCCTCTGCCTCTCTCTCTCTCTCTCTCTCTCTCTCTCAAAAATAAATTTAAGAAACACTTAAAAAAACTAAACTTAAAACAAAAAGATGTCATTTCCCAGCCCCCTTGCTGCCACTTGTGGACAAGTGACCAAATTCCAGACAGGGGCATATCAACAGAAGTATTGTCCAGGACTTCTGGGAGCCTTTTTCAACAAGGGGGCAGTGTCTCATGCTCAGCAGTCATCTTATACCATGGAGATCGGGCTAAGAAGACAGAACAACGGGTTAGTGGGAGCCTCGGTCCTTGATGACCTTGGAGACGCCATATCAGCCTGGACTATGCTTCCAGATTCTTTATGTGTGAGAGACATAAATGTTCATCTTGTTTAAGCCACTATTATTTTGAGTTTGAGCTCACAGTCAGTTTGACCCAATCTGGCAAATAATTAATGCCCTGAAGTAGCAGTCAATAGTGACAAAAGAGCCTAACATGTAACAATTATTGAAGGAGGTCAGATGGCAGGTGATAACACAGATGGTGAGCTGAAAAGTGGGTGAGCCTTGTTATGCAGGGACCAAACATTTGGTAAAACTCACCTATGGTTCCTTGGGTGAGACTGCAAGCTGAGATCTGTGCATAGAAGAATCAATGGAGAGAATTCAGCAGGCAGGTGGTGACCACTATGGCTTCATAATGGGCCAACCTGCCCAGGCCCAACTGTTCCCAGAACACCCTGGCCTTAGGCTTCCATTAGGGTGGGCCACCCCAGAGATTCCTGGGAGACTCGTAGGCAGCCAGGAGCAGCAGCTATCCTGTGGAGCTGCTGACTCATGTCCTTGGCATGAAGCAGCAGCTGGATCTGAAACTGCTCCACTTTCCTCTGGATTCCCCTCCAGAGATAGACCTCCAGCTTCCCAGTGATGCAACCCATGCCGGGCCCTTACTTAGAAGTACCCTGCTCTTGACGCTCGGCTGCTATACCATCTTGAAATTCTTACTTTTTGAACAAGAACACTTGCATTTGCACTTTGCACTGCATCCAGAAGATTATACACGCACTCCTGCTTAGTGATTCTGCACGTTTAGTTGGACCCTGATACAGAACATTTGCTTCCCGTTTAACAGAGTCTTGTGAGAGCGACCGAGCGAACTCACAGAGTAATCCAGCCCCAGGCAGAGAAAAGAAGACAGCAAAGCCGAGGGAGCAAAGCCTAAGGAAGCATAGAAAACAGCCGTTTTGAGGAAATGAGATGGTGATCACACGGAAGTGGTGACCTGCTGGCAAAACCATTAGCCTCACAGCCAAGTGCTCTGTTTCAGATGGCCTCAAACCCAAGACATCGGGCTGGAGGAGAGAGCAAACAGTAAATGACTAGAGTCTGCAGGCTGGAACCTTATGCGCAGACAAGATCTTTGGTTGATTATTCCCACACGGAACCAACTTTTTCAGAGAAATGTCATTCTCAAGAAATCCCAGCCTGGCCGGCAACACCCGTGCAGGCTAATTGCCAGAACTGTTGTGTGTTTTCCACTGTCCCCTGTCCTGATACACATTTGATTTGTGGTTTTCCTGTTTCTTCCCCACCATCAACGGTTTGACAAAGGATGACGTGTCGTAGGCAGCATCTGGAGTTGCCTGCATAGACCAGGGGAGGGTGCTGGTGCATCTGCAGAACTGCACTCCTCTGGGAGATCCATGTACACTGCAAATAAGGTGAGGCCCGCAGGCATTCGGTCAGCCCTCTAAAACCCAGGATCCCTTTCCTTCTCGGGAACAAAATCCCAATGTTGGCATAACACAGTGCGCCCAGAACAGAAGATTATGTTTGTCAGCTTTCTAGTAGTGAGGTCGGATTGTATGACTTAAATTCTGGCCAGTGACGTGTAAGCACGAAGGTTGTGCAGGACTTCAGGGGACTCTCCTTGGAAGGTGTGTGGAGGGGGTGCCCTCTATTCTTCCTCCCCACTGACTGGAAGGGCGCATGGTGTCTAATGCTTATGCAGCCATTTTGGATCATGAAGGCACATGCTAGGTTGGTGGAACAGCAGTGCAGGAGTATAGAATGGTCTCTGGGGGTGCACAACTGCCTTACTACAACTAAACACCAGACATCTCTCAAATGAGAGGAAAGTAAGTAAGCCTTCAGTTGGTTCAAATTACTGTTAGTTGGGGGCCTTCTTTCACAGGCAGCCTGGTTTCCTCACTAATCCAGTCCAGAGGCCCAGAGTCCTAGCTCTTCACCAGAATCCCAAGGTTTCCTTGAGTATCTGAGCACATTGCAATTAGAGATGGCCACGGGAGACAGAATTCTAGCCATGGGAATGCGGGTGGTTTCAGGACATGGTAGTGACTCCTTCACTCTCTGTCCTCTTCTTTGAGCTGGATACAAAGATAATGCCCTAGATGATGTCAGAATCACAAACTAGAAGGCACCAGAGTCCCTTAATCACTATGTGGAGCAGGACTCCATAACAACCGGATATAACCACTGAATCTAATTGTGCTAGGGAGAAATAAAATTCTAACATGCTCGACCTATTCTCCATTTGGAGTCTATTTGTTAAAAGAGTCTAGCCTTTTCTAGCACAAGCTTAAAGGCAGAAGGCTAACAAGATAGACTGTGTTGGGCCCCAGCTGTGGGAACTTTAGTTCTAACTTCTAATTCTAGCAGAGGACTTGGAAGAAGAGCACTGATGATGCATAGGGGCACATGTACCCCAATGTTCATAGCAGCACTCTCAACAATAGCTAAAAGATGAAAAGAGCCTAAGTGTCATCAACAGACGAATGGATCAAGAAGATGTGGTTTATCTATACGATGAAATACTACATGGCAATGAGAAAGAATGAAATCTGGCCATGTGTAGCAACATGGATGGACCTTGAGGGTATTATGCTGAGCGAAATAAGTCAGGCAGAGAAAGACAGCTACCATATGTTTGCACATAAAGGAGGATTAGGAGGAACTTAATGGAGGACCATGGGGGAGAAGAAGGGGGGAAATAGTGGGGGAGAGGGAGGGAGGCAAACTATGAGAGACTCTTGAATGATGAGAACAAACTGAGGACTGATGGGTATGGGGGGAAAGGAAGGGGAGTGATGGGCATGGAGGAGGGCACTTGTGGAGATGAACACTGGTGTTATATGGAAACCAACTTGACAATAAACTTAAAAAAAAAAAAAAAGGAAGAGGAACACTGATCAAGGAACTTGATCCCAAATCCTGTCATGCAGACAAGACAATATGCCAGGCTGGGGGGAGATTACAGTCCAGTAGACTCTTAGATAATTACGATTCATCCCATGTCCACTGACCAGCACTATTAACGCAGACCATACTTGCTGGCGGAGCTGATATAGTGGCCGCTTGGCTGGCAGTGACCCAGGCACTGGGAAGAGCCCAATGCTGAAAACTGAGAGATCCTCAGGCAGCTGGAGACAGACTATGCTGACTGTATTTGGGGGTTAAGCTAGAATCAACTTGTACCTACAGGCAGGGCTCCAGAGTTCTTGCTGGGAATGAGCTAACCGTGTGAACACCAAACATGGTCAAGAAGTCAAATCAATATGGAAGTCACCCTACTTATAACACTTCCATTTGGACACTGTTATAACTCCAACAAAAGCAAGACATCGTGGGTAAGTCTCCAAACCAACTACTGCCATTCAAATTCTGACCCTGTGACTTTCCAGAAGCCAACCAAACTGGGCCACATCATTTCTTTGAACTTCAGTTTCCTCATCTATGAGACAGAGATCATGAACATACCTCCTGTAAGTGATGCATAAAAAATACTAGTATGAATTCTTGTGTGTGTTAAGAACTCTGAAGCTGTTACCTATTAGTATTAAGGCCAGAGTGTATGACTTTAGTGCACTTCAATTACAGTGCACTAATTACTTCAGTGCATTGAATTACTTCAAACACATCAACTCCACTGCTACTATTGGATGGTATTAACATTGCTTATATAATCTCGTCTTGGATGAAGAGACCTACAAACAGCCGCTTGAAATCCAAACTTTTGTAAATAGTGTAACATCTGTAATCTATTTTTCACTTATATACACAATATTTCAGATAATTACGCATGCTGTTGTGCTTAAAGTAAACTGCAGGTCCTTTAAAAATCTAAGTGGAGTTGTGGTCATTTCATGTTATATTATCTTCTCAATCAGTATTCACTCACTTGTTCAAGCAGATATTTGTAAAGGGCCTGCTATGTAGCAGCCATGGGGCTAAGCTTTGGGAACAGTGGAGAACAAGATAGATACCATGGTTCTTGCCCTCACAGAATTTTCATGCCAATATTGTCGTGGGA